GCCGCAAGGCAGAGCTGCGCACCTACCAGGCTGGGGTCCTGGAGGGTCCAGGAGGAAAGGGCAGACAGGAAGCAGGCTGTCTGGGTTCTAAGGCTCTCGAGGTAGAAACCCTGCACCTTTCCCTCTGTGGCACACACGTAGGGGCTTCCCGATGGAATGGAGGTCACAAGCTCACATGAGGACGAGACACACCAGTCAGAAGTTGTCCATAAGGAAGATGGACCAAGTCCACTCTGGAGGCTAGAACAGCCATCAGGGAGAGCTGGCCCCAGTGACCATCAGTGCCTGTCCACTTGGGCAGCCAACAAGTATCTACTGATGCCTCTGTGTGAAAAGGTGCTGAGCCCATGGTTATTGACACCACCTTATGTTCCTCTGTCTGGGCATCACAGTGACCAGAGGAATCCAGAAGGCTCATTCCAGAGTGAAGACGGAACAGAAACCTGTGGATTCTGGCTGAGCACCCAGTGTGGCCGTCCCCAGCTAGAGGTGTCCACAGAGCTGCTGGAACACAGCTGTTTGAACTGCAGGGGCCCCCAGTGCAGAGGCCAGATCAAAATGAACAAGGTATTTCACTAGTAAATGGCATGTTGATCGCATTTTGAGAGAATAGTACTCAAGATGTATCGGATTAAATAAAATACATTATTTCATGTTGACTTTTTATGTGTAGCTACTAGAAAAGTCTTAGTTACACAGGAGCTGGGTTGGCTTCTGTCTGTGTTTGGAAGTGCTGCTGGGCCAGGGTCCCTGGGGGATGAGGACCCTGGAGTCTGGTCCTGAGGCCCTCAGAGGGCTGTATTTCATCTCAGGAATGAGAAGAGACAGAAGACAAAGCCTCTTGACCTCATAACTGGGGGCAGAACTCCTGCCAGGCGGTGTATTAAAAGAGAAAGCAGGAATCGTCCAGTATCACCAACTGATAAGACCCCACGCGGAGACGTGTGGCTACGATGCTTCCTGGCCGAATCTCTTTCAGCTTGAGATCACACAGGGCTGGTGCCTGGAGGGCCAAGGTGAGCTCAGCTCTACCTGCTCGCTCAACCCCTTCCTGGGGGATTTGGATTTTAGGCAGTGTCTTCCCCTCCGGTGCCTGAGAGTCGGCGTGCGCACTTGGGATGTTGAGCGTGCTTCAGAGCTGAAATGCCACCGCACTCTGCATGGAGAAGGGCCACCACCCCAGAGAAGGCAAATGGAACTTGACTGGTGTGGAGGAGGTGGGAAGCAAAGGGGCCGGGACTTTGGTGAAGGAGGCAGGACTGTCCTGGTGTGAGGCACAGGGGGAGACGCTGCCCACGAGACCTCTCCCTGAGAAGAGCCCGGGGGAACCAGGATGTGCACGCAGGTCCTGGTGTTAGTCGGAGGACACAGAGAGGCCATCTACTGGGAAGACAGAGGGACCCTGCAGACCGTGGGGGCGGGGGGGGCGGGGAGGTGGCCGTAGCTGTGCAGGCATTGAAGACAGGGCTAGGCCAGCTGCACTCCTTCTGTTCAAGGTCCAGTGGTGGCACTTAGGGCACCCCTCTTGCCCTTATAAGACCTGTTCCCTTTGCCCCCAGCCAGCATGCCAGTGTGCATTGTAGGGTGACCCTAATGTCACCAAGAGCTGTGGCTCCTGGTTGTCCTTCTGCTGGTGCATTCCTGTGGCCAGCACGGTCGAGTCACAGTGTGGGACCATGCCCCAGGAAGCCTGCTGTTCCACAGACGCCCGCTCTCTTCTGTCATGCAGTGACCCTGCCCTCCTTTAGTAATCAAAATCAACCCCTCGGCCAACTCCAGAACCCTGTGTGCTCTCCTTGCACAGTAGCTTCAGGACCCCAGGGACAGCAGAGAGCTCAGGTAAAGAGCTGGCCATCTGCATGTAGATACAGGCAGGTGTCCCCTACACGCCCGTGACCACGGCAGGCAGCAGACTCCTGTGTCCCAAGTGACTTTGCCTCCTGGCCACTGGAAGGCCGTGTCTGGCCAGGATCTAGAGCCCCCCAATCCCTACCTGGGGTCCTTTTGGCCTCTCATTGCCAGGGGCAACCTCGCCTGGGTGGGTGGGCTGGGCCTCCTGTGTGGGGGAGGAATGACTGAACCCGGGACAGGTGGTGAAGATGCGCTGCTGCTCCAGCTCTGTCCCCACGGCACAGAAGCTCCTCTGGGCCTGGCCCTCTCTGGGGACGAGGTCTGTTTCCCTCTGAGCCGGGGCGCTGTCGATCCTCTTTTACAAGAGCACCCCTCACCTCAGCTCGGAGCTGCATCCTCTGTACTAGCACAGCCTTGGCTGAGCCGAGTACCATGAGGACCCCGTCCCGTGGCCACGGACGGGGAGGCTGCTCCTAGGAACTCCTGAAATGCTGTGCTTTCGAATTCCTGCCTTGCTGGTACGCACCAGGGCCTCCAGGCCAGCACTCCACCCTGAATGCACCTCTTACCTCTCTCCCATGGGAATCTGGAGCCACGCAGGGGCAGAGGGCCATGGAGCACAGCTCACCGGCCTCTGGCCAAACAGACCACATGGTATTCTGGGTTCCCAGGAATTAAGGAAGCGTGTCCAGCAGAGCCCACCAAGCTGGGGCTTCCCTTCGCCCTGAGCACTGGCCTGATGAGCAGCTGCAGGCTCACTGGGAGAGGGTCGTTCCTTTCCCTGATACTGCGGCAAGCTCTTCCCCAAAGGCAGCTGGTACCCTAGACGTGCCGGTCTGGAACAGATTCACTTCTGCAATTGGGTGAAGAATCCCCAGTCTTTGTGGCAGATGCCATTTCCTCAGTCCCTCAAGTGTGGCAGGTCCTCTGCCGACCACCGTCCAACTCAGCCAGCAAATCATTCCCCCACATGGATGTGGCTGGCAAGTTAATTTGCCACAACTGATGAATTCCTGTCTTGCTGGATATTCTCTGCCAAGGGAGACCGTGTCCTTGATTTCTTCCACTTCTCAGATGTTCATGGTCTGCTCCCAGAACACCCGTAGGCAGCACCCAGAGTACTGGGCTGCAGGTAGACATTCAGCTGGTGTAAACAGAGAAGGGCGGCTGACAGACTCGGATGTAGCTCATTAGCAATAATACCCCAAACGTGCAGCAGAGCTGGTCTCCCCAGGAGGCTGCCACCCCAACAGAAGCACTGGCACCACCCACCCTTCTGCAAAAGCTGACTGCACTGCCCGACCCCATGGCCACTGGAGAATCCTTGAGGTCCTTGCCTCCTGAGGTGACCAACTTGCGATTCAGAACCCAGAATGAGCAGGCCCTAGTGGTGGGCTCCAAGCCACATGTCTGATGTTGGGAAAGTAAAGAGCTAGTCCAGATGCATCACTTACAGCGAGAGGTCGTCCCTGGCTCCTGATGAGGCTCAGCTGGGAAGACTGGGCCCAGGAAGGAGGCTCACAGGCCGAGAGCGGGCTCCCGTGGCGAGGCTGAGGCCTGGGCCCTCTGGGTTCCCCACCTCCCTCCCCACCTTGGTGTCTCTTCTAGAGTCTGTTTTCCTATGACTTCAATTAGGAGGCTCTTCCAACCTTCTGGATGGTCATCACTTTTCAGTCCATTCCAAATAGGGCAAACAGCCCCAAATGTTTCTCTCCTTTCTTCCACTCCAGCTATTATACCACCAACCAGCTGGAAAGCCAATCAGAACTCTTTCTTCATGCACCTGGCTTGCACCAGCACCAGCCCCTCTTACCCCTGAGCTACAGCATCGATCCCTTCCTTCAAGTAGCTTGGGTGGTGTGGGACGTTGAACTGAAGATGTTGGAAGAGGACAAGAGAGGGGAAGACCTCTGATGATGGGGGCTCCAGAAGTAGTCTGCGAGGATTAGTGAATTTATTGGACTACAGATGCTGAATTGAGTAGTACTTCTTTTTAACAAATCATAAATAATGTCCTTAAAATTATAGATTTAGGGGTGGAGTAAATACGTCTTATAATGTTACTATTCATGGAAACCTTAAATTGTCTATGCTCTTTTAGATCTCAGAATTGTCTTCCATGCAATTTATGCCTATAAATTTTGCCCCAAATCAGCTCATTCTATACACTCAAACCAGGGGATTTCGGTGTGGACGCTGTGGCCTGGGCTCCAAGATGCCCCAGACTTGGGTAAGCTCCAGAGCCTCATCTGCTCAAGGTCATGCGGCAGTGGCTCAGGAGGCGCAGGAGGGGCCGTGCGTGGCACCCTCTAGACGTACCATTCCACTCCGTCTCCTGCTGTGTGCCCAGGATCTTCCTCCGCGCCCTGTTGGCACTGTGGTCTTTCCTGCCCCCACTAGTGACTGCAGCGCTGGGACCATGCTGTGACTCCTGAGGCCAATGCCTTGTGGTGAAAATGGGCCGCCTCCGAGTGACTGCTTGGCACTGAATAGGGTGGCACTTACCTTATACACCTGTGTGTCTGCCCTTCGAGGTGTGGGGGGCAGTGGGAAGGGCCGAGTCTGAGCCAGGGTTTGCCCAGCACACATCTGACGTAGCTCCTTCTGGATTCCATGTTTTGACCACTGGCTGCCCAGCTGAGGTGAGGCCCCAGGGTCACTGCTGGCCACCTAAGAGTCCCCGCATGTGTCACAGCCCTCCATCACTCATGCACACGTGATTCTGAGCAACATCCCACAGATCATGAGTTTTCTATGGCCAAGCCCAGAGAGGTCCTCATCATCCTCGGTGTGCAGTTACTAATGTGTCCCTGCGTCGTGGGTGAACTGTGGCATCCGGGGACCCTGGGGGCTCCTGTCCATACGGCTCATGCTGAGACTGCCTGTGTGTCTGGAGAACAGAGAGGGGCATGCACTCCCTGCCTGCAGGTCACCTGTCATAGTGGAGCAATGGGACACCGTGCCACAGAGGGGGGACAGCCTGGGGCCTAGCCTGTGCCCTTCAGAGTTCCAACCCCAAATATCTGGCATTTATTAACATTTCCTGTCTTAGATTAGAAGTCACATCCATTGGAAGGGACTTGTACATTTGATTTTCTTTTCTCTTACAAATAAACAAATATGTAAATGAAATTAAAGGAGACAAGCTATGCTTTTTCTGACAAAGAAAGGATTTAATCTGTGCAATGAACTCCTAAGTTGAGTGCAGCAAGAAGTAGACTCATAACAATTTAAGGAAGAGTTTGATTGATATTTGATGCAGATTGTTCCATCACCTGGTTTAATTGCAAACTATAGGTCCTCATTCATCTTGCAGGGCTTTACGGTACCCTGCAGCAGAGCAGTTGATTCTATTTTTTTAGAAATCGTAATTCTTCAAGTGCAGGTACCATGTAACCATAAAACAGGCTGAAACGTGGCTCTGCAGTGCTCTGTGCTTCATGATTCTTCCTCTGTTCCTTTCTCTCCTGCCCTCGGAGGCTGCGTCTCCACTCTGACAGTGGGGGGGCGTTGGGAGGAGCAGGAAGGCCTCATGGAGCGAGTCAGGCCAGGCAGGTGCTGTCAGGGACAGGCTGAAGGCAGGGGGTGTGGGGCGAGGGGAGAGGCTCCTTTGTTGCCCCGAAGACCAGGGACACCTCACCCTGAGGGTACAACCTCAGAGGCCTGTGAGCTGCGGAAGTCCCCCACGGCTTCAGGAGACCAGACCTGTTGAAGCACCTTGCACACTCACACATGCACACAAGTGTGCAGGGCCCTGATCTGACACTGTATTTCCACAGACATGCACATGCGTGTGAGAAAGATACTTTCATGTATACGCACCTCTGTGATTTTAAATATCATGGCTTAGTATTATTTAGAAATGTCCCTCTTAGTGGAAACAAGCTTTGGGGAAACTAACAAGAAAGCTGAATCTAATTCTCACATGACCCAAGCAGACTCCTGGGGGCTGACAGAGGGTGAAGATGTGCATTTGGGCTTTGAGAGTCCTTATGATTGTAGCTTTTATTTTTGAAGCACATTTGGAGATGCCTTCAAGTACCCAGCTATGTTGAAGCCTGATGCGGTGTGCAGGGCCCCTGTTTGACCTGGCCACTGGCACCTTGGTGGGGATTTGATTGGCATACTCTTAGAGGAATGCTTTGTCCTTCCCAAGATGGAAGCGCATCCCCATTGTTCTGCAGCTGCAGTCCTGCGGTCATTTCTGGAGTCCTCCTGACTCCACGGTGACCATGCGACCTGGAGCACTCACTGGTGTGGCTGTAGTGCAGGAGCTGAGCAGCAGTGTCGTAGACACGGGAGAATACATGCTCCCATTTTTTTTCCCACCGACTATAAATGATTCCTATTCTTTGCTTCACAGAACATCCGATGTGGTGCCCAATCAGCTGAAAAAGCTGTGTGGACGTCATCAGTTCTGTGAGAGGGAGCGGGAGGCTGCAGCTGGTCGCTGTGAGCTGAGTGGAGTCTCCATTAGGGCAGCTCTATTGATTTCTGATTCACACTGCAGCAGCGGGGCTGGAGGGCAGGCAGAGAAACCCATCTCAGAGGCAGACTCGCAGAAGACAAAAACAAGCAGCTAGAGAGACTGTAGTTCCATGCAAAAATCATGCAACTGTCACCAAAAGGAGAGAATTTAGACAGCAAAATCTGAAAATGGTTTACAACAGAGTGAAAGATGAGAAAAAGTACGGGGATTTCTGACAAATTCTTGCTTCTCATTCTCAAGCCATTTTTCCATGAGAGTTAATCATGGTCTAATTTCTAAAATTCCTTAAAAATAAAAATTTGACAGACATATTAGAAGTATAGTTGTTGATCTTAAAGCTATGCCTGGGTATTTTGAAGGAAGATGAAGATCTACTTTTAGTGCATTTTCAACAAATGTATCTGGGTGACCTTCATCCTCCCCCTGACTCAGTGCTGTGTGGTACCTAGGACAGCGGTGCAGTCTGCTGCAAAAGCCCCAGGTGGAACCGGGCTTCTCCCCAGCTGCCTTCCTGCACGTCCAGCTGTGATCCCCGCAAGCCAGCAGCAGAGCCCTCTCAAGGTCTGTTGCCTGGCATTTGGCTAGGAAGGGTTGCATGGGGTGCAGACCCGCAGTCCTGGTCTTCAGGAGACCTTCAGCCTGGGCTTACCGCCCACCACTCTTCCTCCAAAGACAGGAACAATGGTGTCAGGCAGTCTGCATGTGATCCCTGGGGAAGAGGATCGGAGCAGTCCACCCCCTTCCCTGGCCACACACACAGGCACACACATGTACAGCACCATGCCAGTCAGCAGGGGAAAAGGGCGATACCTTTTTAAAAACAGGCGAGGCAGCAAGCCATTATTAGCAAGAGCTATATCGAGCATGCTTGCCAGACAGGCAGCAACGCTGAGCTCCAGTCCCGCCCAGACGTGTGCCTTGCCATTTTCATTTTAATCAGCCTGCTCAGGATGGCTGCTGATTCATTTTGCAGGATGTCCCCCTGGGAGCCAAGGTGGAAGCCTCGGGCGGGCGGGCGAGCTGCTCTCACATCCATGCAGTGCACCACATCAGAGGAGAGCGGGGAGGAGGCGGTGGAAGGAGAGGAGCCTTCCCCACGCCCATTCCAAATTTCAATATGGCTAGTTAGAAGATCCCTCAGGAAACCCACTCCAGTGCAAAAGACATAATGAAAGAAAAAGAAAAGAAAGAAAGTCACATTGTCATTTCATTATCCAACTACCCCCTCCCCCTGCCACATACGCACTTCCACCGAGTGGTTGGAATTCTGGTCTTCTTCACGGTCACTGTAAAACACACACACCCACATGCACACAGACATACGTGTGTGTGTGTGTGTGTGTGTGTGTGTGTGTGTGTAATTTACCTGGTGACTAGCTGGGGTGGTGTACCTGATTTAGCTGGAGACTTTGATTTGTAGGACTGACAACCTTATTATGCAGTGAGCTTATTATTGATATTATTCTGCTCTCGGTTGCCATGGCCACCTTGTGAGAGACATTCAATTTTCTCTCTTCCATCATCATTATCTATGAGGCCATCTGTTGTGGAAAATGAATTCAGCCTCATTTGCATGACTGATAAGCAATTTTTTTTTTTATCTATTTAACAGAAGGTCATATGCCGGGGATTTGGAGCTAGTGAAAAAAAAAAGTGCAGAGAAAGCATGGGAGAGGATGAGTGGGGCTGCGTGGGGGACGTGGAAGTGAAGCGGACCCCTCAGGCCTCCAGCCGTCCTGCTGCATTTGTCGTCCCTGCCCGGGCGACATTTTTTTTCCCTGAGCCACTGCACACTGAGCAGAGGGAGAAGCCTTCCCTGCCGTCTTCCAGGAGCCGCTGATTTTCCCCGGCGGTTGGTGGGTGTCTTTCGTTTTTTATTCCCTGGACTGTGGGTTATGAGATCAGTGTTCGCCGAAGACAAAGCAAGCTGGGCTGTCTCTGGGGGCACGCGTGTTCCTCCTCTCCTCCAGCGTGGGGACAGGGCTTCCTCCTCTGTGCTCTGAACTGGCTGTCACTTGCGGGTGAGCCGTGTGGTCGTGTTGTGAGGTACGTGGTGCTCGTTAGGATAATTCTGGGGACGTGGTGGAGACTCCGTGTTCTGTCCTGCATGGGCTCGTGCTGCAACCCTATTGTTTTCTCCTGTTAATTTTCTGTGCTGAGACTGGTAGCTCAAAGGTTCCTGAGCCGGAGGTCTGTGGTCCACAGGAGTCTGTGAAGCGAAACGGTGTTAGGTTGCATGCCTTAACCATGATGCTGTTTATAAAACGAAAACAAAAACAAAAACCTCGCTGCATGCGTAACACTGGATGGTGTGAGGCTCCCGAAGCAAGAACTTCCCAGACTTCATGGGAGTACTTTACATACAAATGAGCAGACGGTTTTACCCAAGTGCTGTTAAAGTCGTAGACATCCTTGATGTATTGCTGTATTTGTCTAATTATAAAAAGAAAGTTGATTTATATTCTTGAAATTGAGAATCTCAAATAAAGATTTTTAACAATAACCTCAATGTTTGAAGTTCATAATAACAAAACAGCATTTCACTTTAACAAAAATGTCTTTTAATGCCACTCAAATAAATAAACTGAAAGTTCAGCTCCTTCAAGATAGATTGGACTAAAGCAATGAAAATGAATATTTAAATGTTCATATGAGAGTTAGCTATAGAAAACATAGAGCACATATTTTAAATTCAGCAGCAATTTAGTCATGACACATTCTTAAACTAAAATTATATAAACTGTAAACTAGTATGTTATTTATTAAATTGGGTGAAAGAGTTTATCTAAGAGCTTTCTTGCTCCAGTATTTATATTTTTCACTGAACAAAATTAACATCACAGACAGAAGCAGCCCAATACCACCCTCCCAGACAGAGCAGGGTCTAATTGTTCAACTTCATAAAAGTCACGTAGCTTTTCAAACAATAGATAAAGGTGTGTCTTTCATGTAGGAAAAAATGCCATTATTTAACAATTAAAGTGAATTGCACAATATTTCTTTCTGTAAACAATATCATTGCATTTCTAGAAGTTTTCACCTCTCACAAACTTTCACTCCAAAGTGTTGCTTGTACATTAAAAATGCTGCTAAGTGACATCTACCAGAAAGAAGTTTGTTTTTCTCCTCTTGCCCTAAAGGAGCTCATGTGCTCCAATCACCTGCAGAGTTGCTAGGTCTCCCTGAAGTCGCACTTGAGTGTTCTCCCTTCTGCATGGGAGACAATAGGCCACTGCTGATATGCTCAATGCTACCACATTTCCTGGCTGGCTGCACTTCTGAAACTCTCGCCACCCCACCTCAGAGCTACTGGAAGCAGCACCCCTTGTTATATAATCCTTCCTTTCCTTAATCAGCCATATTTTTTGTGTTTTAGCTTTAGTTCAAAAAGAAGAAATTAATTTTCCATGTTAATTGCATGCCAAGAAAGTTTAAAACAACAAAATCTGGATAGTTTATGGAGGTTATTTAAAGTATCGTGAGGTTTTTTTTTCTTTTCTTTTCTTTTTTTTTTTAGGACTGTAGTCTAAGCATTAGCAATGTGGTACCTGGATCTATATTGCAATAGGAAGGATGGTGTCTTTGCCTTTTGTTCTGTACTCATAGTCCCAAGATGGTGAGCAGAGCTGCCAACTTCTGAAAAGCCGAGGAGGTAGCACAGTTGACTCCCCCCACACACAACAAAAAAAAAGTTAATTACCAATCTTGGTTGGATTCTTCCTCGCCTTCCTGACATTTGACTGCTGCTAATTCACTGATTAATCTCATTAATGTGATTATAGTGGGATTTGGAACTGGCGGCCATTGTTCTGAGCCGCTGCTATTCAGTCTCAGCACCGCCACCCCATTCAGTTTTGCTGTGATTTCTCAGAGGCAGGCAGAGGCAGCCATTGTGAGCAGCCCTCTGCCTCCCTTTCAGCACCGGGAGCTGTCCGCACTGATAGCAGTCCTTCAGCGGCGAGGGCGCCCCACGGGCTTCCCGGCAATGTGGAAATGGCTCACTTTCACCACCTTAATGACCCTGCCCGTTGAGGTAGAAGTAGGAGCAGGCTTTATGGTCACAATCAGATGTTTTGAAGGTGGTGGCAGCAAAGATCCCTGTACTTGAAGATTGTTATTTTGTAAAAAAAAACTCCCAGCTGCCATTACATACACATTTTACTTTGGTTTTGAAATTATCAAGCATATGAAGCTGAAAAATTACCTGTGTATGTATAATTGTGGGTTAGAAAACTGTAAACACTACATCTTCAAAATAAAAATATTTATTCAAACATTTTCAGATATTAATAAAATTTCACTTTTGAAAGATGAGCAGGGTCCTCTGGTGTGACAGTGGGGCAGGAAGTATACATGACACTTCACTCCAACTTCTCTGGAGTGAGGCTCTCATCCAGCTGCACAGTGATGCCAATTTCTTAAATATGTGTTAGAAGCTGGGGCCATGGTTGAGGGCCCAGTGATTTGTGACCACATAGGAGTGACATGCAGAAATTCTTAGGATCCGTGAAATGTGGTTTCTGGAGTGTGTGGGCACTTCAGAGAACAGTGCCCTTTGACGCGGAGCTTTCATTGGGCTTGTTCGGCCTTTCTCCTAATTGTTTGTTTTTCACTCTCGAATTTCTTTACTCTTTTAAAATAATTTATTCTTTATTATTTCACTGTCTGACCATTTCCCTCTGTTTTCTGTAAACTTTCATGGATCAGGGTAAAAAGATGACTTATTTTGCAACTTCAAAGCTTTTCTAAATTTTTCTAATAAATTATACTTAAAATTTAAAATATTGGATTAACAGTCTAATTATTTGTCCATCTGCCTTTACACAGGCAATTTTAAAAGCCAATTTCTTCTACAAAAATTAATTTTGTTCAGTGAGTGATATTTTTAAGATCACATGTATAGAGTAGACATTCTGACTCTTCCCATAGCCTATCTAATTTGAGAAACATTGTTTTAAGAATACTTATGGCAGCCTCTGAGATACTTTGTCACTTGTTATGCATTTTACTGGCGACACCTTGACTTCCAGCAGCCTGAAGCTCTGCCTGTGTCTGGGTGTCTGACATCCTCCGAGGGTGGGAGGGAAGCCCATTGCTCCTGCAGTTGGAGTGGGCTCGGCTGGGAACTCCTCCTCAGTCACCAGCTTTTCAGATGCACCTGGCTGTGCCAGGGCGTCTAGTTTGGTGGAAAGTCTCCCCAGAACTCTGCCCAGAATCCCAGAGAGTGGCAGAAGCCAAGCGTGTCCTGTGTGGTGCTCTGCTAGGCACACCATTGCCCGGCCTGCTGTGGGCACCATCAGGCCCTGAAGTTCAAGTCTAAAGAGCCCTTCCCATGACTTTCTTTTTCTTTTAAAAATCGGGTAGCATTTTTAAAATGGGAGTAACAGAGAATAAACTTGAACAAAAATTGAAAATGACTATTATATGTTTGCCAAACTAAGTTTCTCCCTACCCAATTCCATAGTGCTACAATACTACGCCGGCCTTTGATAAACATCTATTCCAAACTAAAGACAAAAGATGCCGCCAAGTTGAAGAATGGAACACCCTGTGTGTTTTCGGGTTTTGTGGGGGAGCCCTGTCCACATACCATGTGTGGCTGGTATTAAAGCAAGACATTTTAAACTGGCATATCCCACGTATTCAGAATCTACCTATTAATGACCATAAGTTGTGTGAGAAGTAGTTCACAGTACTTCACTTCAGTGATTTGTTGTCTGATTTTTCTGAGATCCGACATTTGTGAGGCTCAGCCCAACGTGCTCCCATCAGGATGGGTTGCAGCTTGCAGAGGCTCAGTTTGCAGGAGCTTTGTGTCCTCTCTGTCTCCACCTTCTTCTCCCTGTCCTCTGTCCTCTCTCATTCACTCTGTCCCTGTTTGTCTCTTTGCCTCTCTCCCCCTTCACACCTGCATTGTTCAAGCGCACACACCGCACACACCGATTTTTCTATGCATGTTTCCACAATGAGACTGTTTTTAGCATTGACATCGTAATGAGTCCCCAGAGTACTTGCAGAAGTAGTCAGAGATGGCAGAGAAAATGTAAGCCAGGTGTTATAAAACTAGAAAGAACGCATAAAAGCTTATTTATTATGTGAAAAATTACTGATCAACACTGCCATATTGGGCTGTTCCATCAGGAAATTTTTCCTACAATATATCTCCCTCAAAAGAGAGAGAGGGGGGAGAGAGAGAGAGAGAGAGAGAGAGAGAGAGAGAGAGAGAGAGAGAGAGAGAGAGAAAGGGAAGAAAAAAGAAATCCCTGCTCCCCATGTGGGGATTATTAGAAAAGTTGGGAGGGGGAGGGGACGTTCTGGTGGAGAGAAGGGGCATTGTGCCGGGAAGATGGAACGGTGCAGGATATTCCCTGAAAGCCTCCCCTGCTTCCAGACTGCGGTGGTTTCTGGCAGGGCTCACTGGGGAGGGAACAGTCCCCTGTAGCAACCGGTGAGCCTGGCTGCACTGTCAGGCGGACTCCGTCTTCAGGGGAATTACCGTGAGACGGGGGAGGGTGCTCTTGGAAACTCAGGACTTCCATGTCCGCCTTCCCACGGGAGCCAAGCCTGCAGCGGTCAGTCCCCGTGTGGCGCTAGTGTGGACGGGAGCTGACGGAGGGGAGTCCTGGCGGGTGGGGTGAATGGAATGGAAATAGAGGCAACTGCGCCCAGCACGTGTGGTGGGCTGTCCATGGCAGGCACAGCGCTGCGCGTGTGAGCAGACTGAGGAGCAGGAGCCGGAGCCGGAGCAGCCTGCCTGAGGGCCACCACTCTTCTGCACAAAGGTACCTCTTTCCTTCTATTTAAGGGTGGCATGTGAGCTTGGCCTGCCTGGCTGTGGAGGTCCCCAGCTCTCCAGGTGATTTCAGACCTTCTCTTAAGGACTTGAGCACCCGTGGCTTCTGCACCCGCCCGCACCCGCACCCTCAGCTCTGTCTGCTTACACAGTGGGACTCCTCACCCGCAGGGTCTGGTAGACAGTCAGCCACAATGGACGTCCTCAGGCACCCCTGTGCCGCTGGCCGCCTGCTTCCTGAGTTGTTGTTGGAGGGAAGTCTGTGCCTGAGAGGCGGCTTGGGGAGGGGGAGGTGCTGAGGTCGCCTTCGGCCTTTCCCGTGGCCTTGTAGCCACCGAGCTGGGACAGGCTGGCCCAGGGCAGTGACAACGTTTCTCACCTGAGAAGCCATTTATAAAATCAGCACTTTCCTTAAAAAAAGGAAAAATGCCAATGAAAGTCATGGATCTATGTTCTCTTTTGTATTTTTGAAATCTTCCTGGGTCTTGTGTTTATAGAGTAAACTTTTCTTATATTTTTTCTTTAAGCAACACTAAAAGGTTGACAACATTGTAACTTTCTTAGAGAAGAGTTCTGTCTCCTGTTTTAAAGGAAAATGATTAAAGGGAAAAAAAAAGAGCTCATACTGAAATGGAATAATATTGGGAGGCTGCAACCAGAAAGATTTTGAGAATCACTTAAAGTTAACCCTTGAGTCCCCTCCTCCCAGCCTAAGAAGTGGTAGGGGGTCTTAGACCCACTTTTTGTTTTGTTTTGATGCAGCACCACTCAGAACACCCCAGGTTCAGCTGACTTCTGTGAGGTTTCTTTGGCCACAGCTCGGATCTACCATAGCATCCGTGATAGGGGAGATATTTTTAGATGTATTACCTAGCTGGTAGCTGTAGCAGCCTGGCTTTGGTGTTTACAGTTCTCGTCTATTACATTAAATACAGCACAGCACATGATACACATTCTGCTCTAGAGATTTAGGGGCCTGTGGGTACAATGTAGGAAGCGTACAGCATACATCCCAATCTTGTCTGACTGTGTGGCAAGCTTCATAAACAGGAAGGTTAGAAATGACTGGTTGAATCCACAGCCACAGCTTGAGAATTACCTAGATGAGTGATGAGTTTCCTCCCAGGTTAGGATTTAGGAGTGAATGTGTTTGTGTAGCTGGAAGGATGCAGCCCGACACAGGGTAAGTGAGCTCTGTGCTCCTCTTGTTCTGCGGCAGAGATGTGGTCTCCCAGGGAACCAGGGCTTGATGCACACAGCCCGGGCAGGACTGGCAGCCGGGGCCGCCTGGCTGCCGCCTCCTAATGGAGGCTGCCCTGGTCCCGAGGCAGAGCGCGGCACGCATGCCCGTCTCCCCGTCGTTTAGTGGTGTCAACTTATTAATTTCCATCTCCGACTTCAGGCCTGTTAGTTTCCTGTCTGAAAGCATTATTACTTTTGTCCATGTGGCAAAATAATTAGCATACAGATGAGCAGTGGCCCTGTGTCTGCGCGCCGATGGAGAGAAGCTGTGCACTGGGAAGTTGATTGGATGAATGGAGAACAAATGGTGGGCGTTCAAAAGCATTAGGAGAGTTTGTAGTCCTGGAGCAGGTTGGAGCTCTTGCTGGGTGAGACCCTGAGGTGGAAGGCAGGGGTGGCTGCCTGGGGACCACAGCTTATCAGAAGATGGCTTAGCAGAAGGTGCCCAGTGGGACTGCAGGCGCAGATGATCCGCTTGGACCACTTTGTTGTGCAGTTCTTCAGGTTTCTCTTTGATATGCCCTGCAGGTAAATATGTCCTCTCCTCCTGTTGTTCCAGAGCATAGGCTCTGCTTCCCAAAGTGGAGCAAAGTTCAACTCCTTATGGTCAGTGACAAAAGGACAGTCATCTGCTGGTGGCGTGGGGTGGCCGCTCCATCCATCTTCCTGTGCATAAGTCTGAAGTGAAAATTAACTGTTTAGAGATTATTGTTTTCAGAAATTTGCAGCAGCCATTATTCAACGTGATTAATTAATATTTTCTGGAACAGTGTATCGAGATCAGCAAAATTAGCAAACGTTTCAATGAAAGCACAGACTAATTAGTTTTGACTAGTGTATATTTTTCCTAGCTGGAAGGTTTTAGCTCATCTAAACAGTAACTTACTGGTGATTGTGAAAATTGAACTGAAGTTTCTATTGATCGGAGAATCTACAGAGAGCAAATATAAAAATGAGCTCAGCCTTTGGTGTTCTCAGTTCTTTCCGGAAAAATGGAGATCCTTTTTGCAGATCAGTGTCCTGAGTTGGGAAGAGAGAGGAATGCTGTGGACCAGCACCCTATTGTCACCAATGGCTCTGGTTTCTTACATAATTCTGAGCTGTGGTGCTGCAATGTGGGTGCTGTGGTATTCAGTTAGACCTCCTTCCATCGGGGATTCACTGGTAAATAGTTCTCCCTGTCTTAGCAATCCCCATTCTCCTTAAAAGGCAAGGTTTTCATTTAACTGACCTAATTATATCGTCTGCGTTTAAGGTGGAACTTGAGTAGAAATTATCATCCTTTAACTGTATTTTCAATGTTTTAGATCACTTAATGCTTCCATTGGCTTTTATTTCTAAGTTCTTTCTAAAAAGTGTTGCTCGGCATTGGTTGGCTTTAGACAATGACAGTGAATATTTGACAGAAAAATACAACTTTTTTTGTATTTTTAAACAATTTCTTCTGTTTAAAATCCTATGCTTTTCCAAATAGGAAAAAATGCCTTCAATGAACCTAAACCTCAAGCCCAGATATTGGGAAACATATTAACCCCTCAAGGGAAACTGTGAACTTGGTTTTGATGATTTTCCTGGATGTATTGCAAGTTTCTGATTATTTACACTGAGCAGTATTTTTTGCATAACAAGTGGATTCTCTATTTTTATATTAATGCATATGTATGCACACAAATGTTTTGCTTTCTATTTCATTTTAAATTATCTGATAAAGTAGAATAAGGAAAAGGCACTGAGTTTTAATGATATTCACCCAAGGTAACAAATACCAAATTGTTCTCAGATCTGTGAAGTCCTACCTAGAGAAAAGTCGTGCTTATTCTCACTTACTCCCTTTCCTTAGAGTTAGCCAAGCTCTGTCTGAGTCGGATGCTGCTTTTCACGTTACGATGGCTGTAACTTTCTCGGGGCAGCATCCTTGCCTCTGGTCTTTAACCCCACTCGCTCACCCAAAGCCAGGGGCCCCGGTGCCCCTCCTCCTGAGGTCCCCTGTGCTGGCCGCCTCTCCCAGGAGAAGCCCAGCCTTCCCTGTGGTTTTGGGGGACCAACATCACGTCGCGAGTTTCCGGTTGGCAGAGTTACTTTCTGCCACGCGCTCTCAGCTAGTGGCCCAGCTCCGTGGAGCTTGGGAGGGCTTGCCTGAGAGACAATGAGAGGTCCGGGCCAGGAGTGTGCTGGGGTGCACCAGCCTGAGGTGTGATTTCTAAGAGAATTGTTCTGTTTTTAGTTTCACTTTTCGGTTGAACATCAACTTTGGAAGGAAATACAGCCTTCCATAGCAAAATTGTCTAATTCATCCTTGAGATTCCAAATATTTGCCCGGCTGTCAGGTGTCTGACCTCGCTGCTGCCTGTGGGTCTGTGTGGGAGCATGCTGTCCCACTGGGCGGCTCGGGCTGCGCATGCCCGTGCTGTTGTCTTGGTGGGGTTCCTACTGGCTGTAAATGGGAAACAGGCAAACATCTCTTTCCAAATGTGACTCGGCCTCATTTCCTTTAACATTTTGTGCTCGGATGTATTTTTGCACCCTTGGAAGCACATGGCTGACCCCCTTGGTGGCTTTGTGGGTGCGGATGTGTCGTGTGTAGGATGCGGTGTGAGATGTTGGGTGCAGGCTCCGACCTCTGAGCCTTCGTGTTGGTGTGTGTGCTGTAGACATACATGTGCGCTCTTTCATGTTGTGGGGGAACTTCGTGACCCAGTGCCACACACTGGCTGCTCTTTTCTGAAGTCTCACTGCTTGCGTAGCACACTCAAATGGCTTTAAAGAAAATCACCTCAGGGACATGGGCGATCGCTTGAGAAATTTTCAGGTGTGGAGTGTCAGGCGTAGGACTCTGAATCAGGCTGCTTGGGATTAATAATTTATGGGGGGGGGGCCTCCTTGGCACATGGACAAAGGCTTTCATCACAGGGTTTCTAGCTGAGGCACTGTTTTGAGAGGTACCTTGATGCCGTTACCTCAGCCTGGATCCAGAGTGTGTTTTAATGCTTTTTAAAAAGCCAGCATTGCCCCTCGGTTCCAGAGACGGAAAGCAGTGGACATCACCAGAGGCCGGCTTTATGTCTGGCCCCACTTCCCCTCCTGGGTGCGGGCATTCCAGTGGCCTTGGCCTTCTGCACAGAAGCTGAAGGGGGAGAGCATTGTCGCCACAAAACAATGCTAGCCAGACTGGTGGTGGAGATAATCGAGTCTGCAGGGCACCCCATAGAGAGCCATCAAATCGAGTCTGCTCTGGAGCTGTCTGCTAGATTGTGAACCTTCAGAAATCAATGCTGCATCTGCCAGTGGGCCCTTTGGTTCTCTGAAACTCCCACCTGCCTAATGCATCTGGGCAAGAGCTTTTCAGAAGCCAGTTTCCTTCAGGATAAATTTAATACGTCTTGAGGGCCAGGCGCAAGCAAATTGATTCTATCTCTGCACCAGGAAAACTCATAAACATCTGTAAGAGCACGGATTTCCAGCAGCCCAGGATCAGAGGGTGCTATTCTGCGAAATATTCCAGGCCCACTCCCTTCATACCCCGTGCCAGCATGGCATTTTTTAATTAGGAAGTTGATTAAAAAGGGCACGGTCGACCACGGATGCACGGTCCTCTGGCATCCATCCAGCTGTTTGTTGTCTGGGTCGGAGAAAGCGCTGCTCATCACCAGTTGCCAGGAGGAGGGGGCTGGCTGGGGGCCGAGGAGGTGGTCCGCCGTCAGGGCTCAGGGTAGCCTTTTCTGCAGACCGTCCTGCTGGCTCCTCGGTGACCCAGTCACGTGCCCTTTGAGATAGCCTGGAGGTGGAGCAGCTGCGTGGATCACTTGCAGGGATTCTGGGCTCTGGATTTCAGGGGGCAACAGGCTGTTTGCATTTCCTGGCGCTGCACCTCATGTTGACCTTCCGGCTGCAGGTCAAGTTAGTGTTGATGGTGACTGTAGCCCTGCAGGCTGTGTATCCTCCAGAGGAACCGGTTTTGTTTTGCCTTCTTTTCTATCCCCGGAGGGAAATCCCTTTCTTGCTGGATTTTTTCAGGGCTTTCAATATATTATCACAGGAATAAAAATTTATGCCTAATTGTAGTGTTCCTAAGGCTAACGTGGTGTGAACCCTGCCATGTTAGGGATTTAACCCCATCCCTCCCTCTCAGTGTTTGAGCCCTTCCCCAAGAACAAGTGTCCCCAAGAAAGCAGGGCCTGACAGCCACCAGTGACTGACCAGGGACTGGGGCCCCTGGGCTTGGGGCTGGAGAGCTCTGGGGAGCCTGCTCAGAGCTCAAGGCAGGGAAACATCCTCCTCCCAGTGGGACGGCCTGGCTGCTGGGCAGCAGGTTCCTCTTTTGTTCTGCTTCCCTGGAACCTCCCTGCAAATGTTCTAATTAGATTCTGCATTTTAGAAGAGGTCAGTGCTAGGCCAGCTGGAGTCGCAGTGATGGTGGACAGCCCAGGGGTTCTCTGCATCTCCTCCCAGGAAAAAATGTCAAGGTCGATGCTGAAGACAAAGGATGTGAGCCCAGGAAGGGGGCTCCGCTCACCACTGTCCACCAAGTAGGTGACCCACACCCCGGGCTCAGGTGGAGGGCCTGCTAGGTGCCCAGAGAGGCAGAGCCGAGCAGGGCAGGTCCTTGCCTCATTCACATCTCTGCAGGTGACATCAATGCACCCATAACTCTGATGAAGATAGTTATCAACACT